ATTGCCCATCAATTTCCAGCTCACAAATATAATATAAAACTCATACTTTCCTTAAAGCCTTTGCCCTTGTCCCCTTTGCCATGATGAAGTCTTGACTTCACAAAGATGCCAAATGCTTCAGAATATATCTCTTTTACAAAGGTAATTCCTTGTTACCAAGAGTTATGGTAACAAGAAATTAAGATGACACAAAGGAGGTAAAAGCTGGCCAAATTCGGATTTCCAGAGCTGTGGTAACATGCTGGATTGGTTGGATAGGCAATACTTGTCCAATGGAGCTCAAATTTGGATATGTTGTAGTTAACATCCATTGGAACAAGTCTCATGAAGATCATGACCTCATCCGAGCACCAGAGCATGTTGATCCCAGGCCAAGAAGTTGACCTACGAAAATGAACAAAAACAAAGTTTATAACCAATAATGCACTTTTAGCTCATTTTCATTCCAACCAAGGTAAAATCTAAGAAAACACAAAAAGGAAGTAAAAAGCTATAAAATGTCAAGAACTAACTCAAAATAGTGGGTGAATAACATGAAAAATCATGTGTAAAAATAAACCGAACAATATGCATATGGGCAATCTCTAAGAAATAATGCTTGTAGCCCATTCCATGCACCCCGCATATTACTAGCACCATCATATCCTTGACCTCTCATTTTATCAATACATAATTCATGGAAATCAAGTACTTTCTTGATCTCTTTTTGAAGTGTCGATGTAGTAGTGTCTTCAATCCACACAATGTATAAAAAAAAGATTCTAGTAGAAAACCATCATTATCAACAAATCTTAAAACAATAGTCATTTGCTCTCTATTTGATGTGTCTTGTGATTCATCAACAAGGATACAAAAAGCAGCATGCCCAACTTCTTCACAATTTTTTTTCTCTCACTTTGTTAGCAAGAATATTTAAAATCTCATTTTGAATCATGGGTGAGGTATATTTGGCATTTCCTGGCGTATTCTCTAAAACAACTATAGCCACCTCATCATTAAACTTTGCTGTATGCTTTACCATTTCAATAAAATTTCCACGATTTTTAGAATCCAAAGTTTCATCATGCCCTATGAAAGCACATGCCTGATATGTAAGCCAACGAATACACTCTATTGTTGTCTTGAGCCGTAATATGTTTTTTAAAATTTCTTCCTTTGATTGTTGCTTAATAACTTTATCTTATCGACATGTTGAGATGGGTTCATCAAATCCTCCACACATCTTTCACAAGTATTATGCGATGAAGATGGACCTCCCATGTGTGTCAAAAATGTACAATTCTTTCCATTATTAACTCTTTTCCAATTACAAAACCCCTCAATAGTTAGTGCATGATGACCACTACCAAAAAGAAAGCATGGAAAACAATAGACTTTATCTTCTAAAGGGGAATATTCTAACCATGGAAATTGGGAAAACCAAGAATATTGAAATCGACGATACTGCGATCCAAACTGAGACCTCGGATATTCTGAAAGTTTTGGTTGGTAAGGTCGAACTTTGATATAAGCACGTCGAACCTTATCATATTGATTAATATGGTATTCAGATATTTACGTTTCCCAGGGTCTCGTTCCAAAAAAGTAACAACAAACTCATTAGGTTCAACTACAGGAGATGTGTGATGAGGTAGCTCAGTTGATAGTGAAACCTTCTCATTGTCTAATTTATTACCACCATTTTTTTTTCTTGAAGAATGAATGAATAGTTTTTGCTCTTTTACTTGCTTAGTTTTGATGTGACATTATAATCTAATAACACATATCAACAATAAAACAATTTACTTTATAAAGACTAAATGAATAAAAATAATTAATTTTCACATATATATTAGTTGTAAACACAAAAACAATGAAGGCAATTGAATGAAAAAGATTAAATTAAAGAATTATGGCCAAGAACTTTACCATTATTGTGCGTTTGAACAATCGAATAGACTTTGGTAGCACGAAATAAAAAACGTTGTAGATATCTTTTGGGGACTGCTAGGCTAAGTTTCACAAATATCAATTTTTTTTTTATCAAAGACTGACTAGGATACTCATTGCATAGTAGGACAAACTAGGCTGGGATACTTAATCATGTCAGACTATAGGATCCTTAATTAAATGGGAAACCGCCCATATTCCCAAAAGAGCCCAGCGAGGAAGTAGTGCTCAAAGTGAGAAAGTTGAGGTGATGGGCTACATTAATCCCCTTACTTCGGACCCAAGACTCAGAAGCCGAGACACGATGTCGGGACACTAGTGCCAATAAAGGATATTTATATTTTCCAATCCAACGTAATCCAATACAATATGCATTACTTATCCGTTTGAACCCTGGCCTCCGATAGAAACCGCTCCAACCCGTATAAGGCACGGCACAAGTAAGGAAACCAAGGTCTTACTTTCTCCCTTCAACCCGTATATCCATGCCACTTGTTGAGCTAAAGGCTTTTGGGCTCAAACTATACTTTTTTTAACTTTGGAAAAATAAAACCAACTTTGAAAATGTTAAAAACATGTATTTTTTTTTTCTTTTCAAACAATAAATACATAGACATTTTCCAAATGTTTTCATATTTTTCATTCTTTTCCATCACATTGCATTAATTGAATTGAAAAGTCTGCTGGGGCACAAAATATTAAAGTAGCAAATAAAACTTTTCAAATTGCCACGTAGGTTAACAGCAAACTTCAATTTGAAGAGTTTGGTTTGCTATTACTGTTGGAAATGCTCTTACAGGTTTTAGTGTTTATATATAAATTCAATGCAACAAATAGGTCTTATTATAAATTTCTCATTTTGGTATGATCATTTCCTAATAATAAAACCTCGAGCAGCCTTACTAGATTTTCCTGGGATGTGCATGTGGAACAGACAATTTAGTTTATAAAGAAATGAAGCATCTTATACAGAGTAGTTGATACGTCCAAGATTAATTAGGTGTTATGCACCTAAACAATAGTTTAAGTCTCTTTCTCTTATATATTGGAGCGGCGGGCACTATTGATATACGATACAAACAAAAAGAAGAGAGCACATGACGCTTACCAATCTTGGTGC